CAAATATATATCACTCACGTTTACCGTGTTTATTTTAACTGTAATAATGTATAAGTATTCACGTCGGTGTTTTCACATAACATTTTAGTATCTACAAAATGATGATAAAGGGTCACTAGTCTCCTAGTTCATCAGATGAACAAAAAAGCTTTGACGTTGAAAACAACAAAACATTTAAAAATTGTTAATGTTATATTTTAAATTTGAAAATGAAACAAGAATTTCTAGTATTTTTTAGTGATAAATTGATGTTTTAAATGAACTGACGAAATTGAGAGACGTTATCTTGGCAATGAACACAACAAGCGAAGTATATTGAACAATTGTATGAAGCCCCTAAGGATACATTTAATAAATGTATTACATTGGCGTACTAAACTTGGTAGGAATCTTTTGTGCATACTCATTACATCTATAATTTAACATTCTGCTTTTGAAATTATGAAGTACATTGTAATATAACTTGTACATTGCGTCGATTTCCTTTCGGATCTAATGTGATTTCTCGGTACACATCAAGTCAATATCTATTTATATTATGATCTTATCTTTACTTATACGTGTATTACTCGTGACGAATGAAATATGTTAACATGTGTCACGTGTGTTATTTGCAATTTGATTGTCAATTATTTGGTCAATGGAAATTATGTGTCGACGGTTGATTAAAATACAACCGTACTTGTAGCGATTCGTTTGGTTCAGCTGATAAACTGGTTTGCTAAGTGTGCACAAATACATAAACGAATTTAATTCTGGAGAGTTCTGTACCACGTGCGAAATTGCAGCATGTTCACTGCGGTAAAGTTTACAACTCAAGTAGGAAACTCAGCATGGGGTCCAGTGTTGATGAAATTGACCGGTAGGCAACTGCTGAAGTGAATTGATTTTTTAATAGTAACAATACGTTTTCGTCATGCCCCTGGCTGGAGGAGGATATAATACAACTTGCAAGAAGCACAATTGGCGGCCAACGCCGCCGACAAGGTCATTGCGCTATTTTATTTGCTCAGTTTATTTAAAACGACTGTAATAATATCATTGCTATCATTACAATTATCTCCGTACGTATGTCATGAACACGTCACATGTGCATACAGTCGGCGAGTGAGACAGAGCACTAAGGAAATCAACAATAATGTTACTCGGAACTCAAACAATCGATGTGTCTATACAATGGCGCTAAAAACTTTTTTGCATCCACTGTATAGAAACCCGTATATGTACGCTAATACAATAACACCATAGAAGCTCTACCGTGTGATGATTTTCGAGGTTGATGCCGATTACAGTCCGTGCCCATAGATTATTACGCGTGTGCGTTTGTCTGTGTGGGTGTCACTTGAATCGGTGCAATGCACTTTGGTATTCGTGACCGTACTTTATCCTAAGGTCCAAATCCCAATTATGGATTCTATCCTTAAGTTCTTCTATTTTTTATATCTTCATGGCCCGGCGTCATGATGTGGGAAGCTTTCAAACAGGCGGAAAATGTCAGTATGGATATCCATTAGGTCGTTATAATTGAATTTGCGATTGTCATAATGCTCCGGCGCCGGTGGTACTTATTATTTGCATAATATTTATTACCTACCAGAACGACGAATCTTATAATAAAACGAAATGTGATCGATTTCTATGTTAAAATTTGTACACCGAGAGTTATATGCCCACATAAAAAACAAGACGTGTACATTAAGCAATAAATTTATCATTTATTAAGACAAGGACTAATATTTTGTATTCATTGCTTTGTGTTAGTATGTTTCGATTGGCAATTTAAATGGTCAGATTACTGAATTACTCGAAAGTATAACTGTCAAGTATACATATTTACAAAAAAAAAAATATATATATACTGTCATTTAGTTATGTCCGGATAGTGGATTTAAAACTTAGTGCTTTCAGTTGAATTTTACACATATCTCTTTGGCGATTTAATTAATTTTAAACCAAATGTGTCCCATAAAAATCGTGTCGGACCTTATTAATTTTTTTTAACCGATTTAAACTACGCTACGTGGATTAATTAAGATTAGGTATTTTATAAAATGTCCATTTTAGTGTAATAAGGATAGATTTAACATTTCGTACTATTTTTTGTTCGGATCTCATAGCAAAAGAGATTTATTAAACGAAACAAAATTAATTTTAAGGCTAATGGATTTTTGTTGACTTCACATTTGTTAGCTTTTGAAGGCTATTAGTATGCAGTGTTCAAAATTAAATATTTTGATAGATATCTACAATTTTTTAAAAATCTTTAATTTTATTTCTGATATTGCAAATATTTAAATCGATATATAAACCATAAGATTTCTATTGTTGACTTTTCTGGTAGTTGTAGATGACATTATAACGGTAATAATTTTATAATTAATAATATATAATGTATTAGATCAAATAATACCTTTCAAAATAAACAAAAATATAGAAAACAGTGTTTGCTAAGTAGAATCAGATCATACCATTAGATATTACTGTCACAAACACCTCCATTATAATGTAATAACGCTATAATTATCGACTGGTATTTCATCTCATCATAATAACCGATCAAAAATTCATTTAACTGTGACAGTGAATCCTCCATCCGTCTAGAGAGTGGAACTTGTTGCTGTTTTAGAAACGCATAATTTATTTCACTAACACAGATGACATTCGTTAAACGTGCTCCGTTTGCCATCAAAACTCCGTTATGACAATTCCATAAACGTATGTACGCACACGTAGGTCGCTAGATGATTGAATCAGTTTATTTTGGTATACGTTTGAAGAAGACAGGTAGGCGTACTTAGTTTAATCTTTATTAAACACGCGTTCTATCAATAAAAAACTGATTAGCCTATTAAACGCATTCAACAAATTCTATTTGACTAAATAGTGAATTCTTTCAAATCAATCAATTAGAATAGAAGCCAGTTTCCATCAAGAGTCGGGATTGACATTTAAATTTAAGTGCTAATATTTATAGTTCATAACACCTATCCAGTCACAACCATTCACTGATATTTGAAATATTAAACATTGATTTTGGTTAGGTACAATGTTGAAGAAAGTCAACAGGAAAAAAGTCAAGTAATGTGTTCACGTTATTGTGAAATATTTAAAGAGCTGATTTATTAATGTGATCAATAGCGAGAATAATATGTTGCCACTCTCACGACTGTGCTATGCTACACGGTAAGAATTGCGAAATCTGACAATCTGGTTGACATTAAAATCGAACGATAAATTAAAATAATCTGTCCGCATTAACTACGACGTTGATACTTCCATTGTATATTAGATGCTAATCATAAGGTATGCGCCGGATAAAACAAATGAGAATTAAATGTATTTTTTTCCAGGCGGAAAATCAGTTCTAATTGAAACGTCTATGCTTGACATATTTATAATTTTAAATTAAAAAATATAGCATAGATCAGTTGATTTATATTTTATGGAAAAATTTCTCATAACTTCTAGTAACAAAATATATAATTCGAGTTTGTTTTCAATGTTTAAGGTAAATTTGTCAGATTCCTTACGCAAAACTTATTTAATAACGCGAGTCAAATTCTAAGCTGTTAGTACTATAAGAATAAAAGTTATTGAACTCGAAGGACATCACATTATGTAAAAAAAATTGACATTATATATCATCTAATTATCTTAATACCATAAAAACTTTCAAGGAAACGCATTACAAATATTACAATGGGATAGTTGCATGAAAGAATTGCGATTGTGTTTCTCTACTAGACAAGATACGAAAATAATGAAATTTAGTTTGAGAATAGTTAATTAATAAACATTTGATCCTACTAGGCATATGTCGTTTCCTGAATGTGTGAGCTAAGGTCACTGTAAGTAAACATCTATCAACAATAAAAGGATTTGGATCAGAGGTAATAAAAAAACTAAAAATAAATATTAGCCAATACGCACACTGGTTTATTTGTTTAGAAGTCACGGGTGAAAGTTCAACGTTTCACATTCTGCAATGTAATCCCATGACATTATGTATCTGGTGTTATCATAAAACACACTTATACATTGTATTTTATAACATAAATTATATTCTAAGTATCTGTATGCATCGTCGACCTGTCAACGCGTTGATTGAGCTACTCTAGGCTGTTGAATTAATCACAAAATACACCAATGAAAGTGCATAAAAGGGCGTATTTGATTTTGACCATTGTAAAGTATGATACAATACACAACATTGGTAGTCATACTGACCTAGATTGCAAGGTTTAAAAATTGTATTCATATTTTAATTACTTAATATAACAAAAAAGCGTTTGATTACGTTTACGTATGTCAAGTATTAAATTTTTAAACTTGAAAATTAAGGTTTAAAAATTTCCAACATCAGAATATTATGTACTCAATACTTTTAATTTTTGTTCGAGTATTAGTAATATCTGGCAGCTTTTCAATTTATTGCTATCACTTTGTATAGCTTCTTAAAATTATTAATTAAAAAAACTATATTTAAGTAGAGCTAATGATGTTTAGTTGAAATTTATTAATTTTTTGATAAATTCAGAATTAGCTCAATTGTAAGTGGATGTGCATTGTAGTGTTTGTTTTATACGACTTGATCAACTAACATCTTAATGACGAAAATGATAATGTGTTTCTATTTGAATGTAAATAAAGTTAATTATTGTCACTACCGCTTTGCTCTATTTTCATGAATATTCGTATAGGAAGTTTAATCATTTAATGGGGTTATTTAAGTCAAATAAGTAAGGGTATTAACAGCAACATGAGCATAATAAAACACCTCTGCCGCGTCTAAACAAATTAATATATTTTTCTCAGTTAAATCTATAGTAAAAGTTGTCATGCAAAATGGATTAATTAATAATTATATCTGACGATCATTGAACATAACTCTGTTTAAGTTTACAATTATTGCATTAGATATGTAAGAAACCCTCGTACAATTATTAAGTTATGTCTATTCGTTCGAAATATGTATTTTATTGTATTTATTATTTTTGCAGATTTACATGTGTTTATTATTTGACATAATTTGTATAGTTGATGAAAATTTGTGATACTTTTATTGAACGGTTTTGATATCATAAATTGTAGATTTTTAATGAAATACATCCACACAAAATATGTATTAATATATTTCACTATCTATAACAACCATAATATGAAAAGCATTGGTAAGGATTTCATTGATAGGTTATTGTGTTATATGGAATAAAATATTAATGATGAATAGATTATACTTTACACGTTTAACGTTACAGGTCATTCGCGCCAATGACGAATCGCTAATATTTATGATTCACTGGTCCATTGAAACGTCGTTGAAAAAGATCGACCCAATGAGTCTTAGACTACTGTTGAATACCTCGGCAAAAAAACTCCAACGTATACTGCACACTGTGCATGCTAATAAGTCATCCGTCGATCATAATTGTCATATAGGTAGGATGATCCAAGGGCACAGGCGGCATAACACAGATTTGCGATGTGGCTTGACGTGGTAATTCGGAGGAACACTGAGGGGAAAGTTGTTATTTTTTGTTGTTGTAGCCCGATTTTTGCAATATTTATCAGATTACCATTATAATAATAAACACCCGGTAGTTAAATAGAGCGGTATATTTATTAGATTCAAAATGAGTTGGCAATAGAGACAGCCGCTGTCATTTTTATGCTTTCTGATTTTTCAATAAAAAAAAACAAATGTTATACATAGTAATCACTATTGTTATTCGTTTGGAGACTATTTCGAAAGTTTTAGTTTTTAGTTATTTTTGATAATATTTCAAAAAATATATATATTATGTTTATAATTCTTCTTTATTTTTCTATATTGAATCATATTTACAATGAATTATTCACATTTCAAAGAATGTTTTACATTTTAAAGTACTCTAGTCAGTCATATTTTTCGATATTTTATTAATTTAAAATTATAATAATGAAATATTTATTGAAAATGTAATCATTTTATGTATATGCAATCTATTAAACTATAACTAACAAAGCTTCTTTTAAAAATCCAATTATGACCATGTGAACATTTTTACTGTTCCATAGTTTTGTTGAAGTGTTTAAAATCAATATATTCATATATTTTGTGAAGAAACCCGTTATAAGTATAAAACAGCTCAGGGTTAAGATAAAATAAGTGGCCTTCAATTTTCATTGTCTAGATTTTAACAACCTCCGTGATTAGGTCACCAAAATGACGCATTATAAATTTTATCTAGTAAACATTTTTAAAAAGATAAAATAGATCTAGGTGATACTTTACTTTGAGTGTAATATTTGTTTGTAACACTCGAGTTATTTATTTCAATATCTTGAAACATTCAGTAGAAACTATAGAAATGTGCAATAAAGTTTTTGATAGAGTACCTTAGTTGTAATCCAAATATCCGCCAACGTTTTAAATTATTACCACAAGAGAAGTTTGCCAGTAGTACATTTATTAGTTATTTAATAATAAAGTTTCGAATGAGAAATGGATAGGCGACGAAAAAGAGCCAACTAGATAGAAAATTAAGAAATATCAGCTGTAGACTACAAATTTAACGTTACATCTCAGTAATTAAATAAGATTGCAGTATTGAGTGTTGCCATACTGATAGTTTTTATTTCTCGTTTACTTTTAAATTGAAATAAATTTGGTAAGTTAGTGAAATCGTAAATCTTTTCAATTATTGTCCTTTTCCGTTGGTGTGGTTTTCCGTTCATGTATCGTTTAAGACGACTTGGTTTTTCCGGTTACAAAGCTTTAGGCTTTGTCCGACCCGCGCGTTTCCACTGCCAAAATTATATTAACAATGACTGGTAGGTGAATAGTGTTAGAAAGAACAAGATATGGAAACTAGAAAAAGTCTCAAAAAAATCTTCATGACAAAGGAATATTAAAAATAAAATGTATGTGTTATGCAAGTTTTTGTATGACCAACCTACACCCGTCCGGGACTAGCGTGAGCGCTGGAAATACCACTTCCGAAATGTACATGGCGTGGGTACGACATCTCAACAATGAACGTTATAAAAATGTGCTATCAAAGTAGTAATAATAATTCACTAAACAATGGAAAGAATAACTTTGAAAAATTAAATTTCGTTTCGTCTTACTAATTTGAGTTTTCATATAACATTTTTCATATTTTTAGTTATTGTATTAAAAGAAATTAATTTGTATGTAATGTCTTGAGTTTTTTTGTTGTTATATTTAGTTTGTAATATTAAAATGTCAGACATTTTTTAGGTAACGTGTAAAATTTCATTATTAAAGTACGATCAAATTTAAACACAATAATCTGATATTTATTGTCATTTTTTCTCAACTCCGGAACTCTTTTTGTTTATTTTTTATTGTAACTCTATTATGGTTACTTAAAATATTATCTCTTGTACGAATTTTTTTGTTCTGCGAAACAATGAATTAGTAGAATTACTTTATAACCACAATATTAGTGCGGTTGGAAGTATAGACTACCACCCTGAGATGATTAATCCCAGCAGCCAACCGCACAACAGGTTGTCTAGTATTGTTGGTGTCATTTAGGGACATTTTAGTCATTTACTAATTACATACTAACTTCAAGCTGTCGTGGAATTCATTTAAATATATAATTCCAACGTTTAATAAGTTGTAAATCACCGCAGTTTTATTAAGCTTTTAGTTAATCACTTTCAGAACAGACATTAAAAATATCTAGTAATGCAAATGTATTTATATTAAGGTAAAAAGAATTTATTTAAAATAAGTATTGCTATTTAAAATTATTTGTATTTTTATAAAATTAAACTATGACCATTTTTTCACTTTCTAATGTCAAAGGTGATTTAGTATTTGCTATATTTTATAAAAAAATCTTTATCAAAATACTAAAACTATTATAACTTTCTTGAGAATTATTATTATTTTTTAATTCTTTTAAAATGTTGATATTTGAATCCATTCTTAAATAACAAATTATGCATGATTATCTCACTGGATTTGTATGTAATATATAATATTTATTGATACTGTATAATCAATAACAGAAAGTAAATGAAAAAGTATTTTCCTCGAGTTCCTGTCAAATTTAATTGTATTACCAATTAGAACTGAAATGAATTTTGAAAACAGATGACAATGGGCAAACGAATACACATCAACAGATGACACTGACGAGTGGTGTTCGTTAGGACAAACATTTGGACGATTTATTTTTAAAACATCTGGAGAAATGTCATCAGATGATAATGTTATATATGTGTTGTTTCAAGAATTAAATCGCTTAGAACAAGAGAAATTCGTGTTTTTCATATAGTCGAGTTTTGTTTAATATGTAATTACAACGTGTATATTTTGTTATATTTTAGAAATATTCAGATAAGCCGTGGACCTTATAAATCCACTCTAAGCTATAACATTTGTATGCATCCAAGAAATAACAGCTTCCGACTGTCGGGGATTTAAGAGATTGTAGCGCGCTAACGTTCGAAGGGTGAAAATAAAATAAGCAACAAATCTAGGGAGGGATTTTTCCGGTCGGTTCAGGCTAATGATATTTGAACCCTGAACGCGAGTTTAAAACGTCTCGTCGCATCTTATTCCAACTGAAATATATACATTATTTCCCTTTACGTACCTTTTTCAAACTTTTTTACAAAACTTTTCGTCCGAAGACAGATTTGACCAAACAGCCAAAGTAAATCCCGTTTTTTCCTATGGACTCTGGACAATGTGATATCGAGATATAAACAAAACAGCGTAACGCACGGTCTATTAATCGGTTAAATACAATTTGTTTTTAATTATCGAAAAAATAACTTGTTCCAAACCGATCGAGTTCGGCTGATTCCCTTTGATTAAGGCTCGAGTCGATCACGTGCGTGTGCTGTGCACTTGTGTCGCGTGTGCCGCGCTGTCCGGCCGAACGTATTTCGCGTACTGTCCGGATCGGTGCGTGCGGCGACAGTCTTCGGCGAGAGTTCACCGTCCCCACCGATCAGTCGCCCGGGCGGCCCGATGCAATCACAATATTGTATACATTACTACTACTACTACTGCTATTGTAAATGTGAGTATTGTTATACAGAGCGGTCCGTCGACGATGACACGAACTTGCCGCCCCATACGGTAACCGATCACTTGTGCAGAGCCGATGCGACCTGTATGCGGCCGGTGCAGCTCTGCTCGCGGTTACCCTGAACGCCCACTCGACGGACCAGTCGCGCGGCTCTCCTAAAATGGTCAACACGGCAAGATCAACATGCGCTCCACGTATGAAACGCTGTGGACCGGTCAACGGGCTCGGCATTCTCGCGTGTTTTTTATTACCTGTGGTAACAATTCATTTGCTCAACGCATAACTGTGTTGACTATTTAGCGATTTTCGTCTGGTCGTCGAAAATATTAAAATTGTATTCGCACTTAAAACGCGAGTCGCGCATTCACATAATGTCTTGTGCACATAACATTACGTAACACGTGCGTTCGACACTTTGGTTGGGCACCGTCAATTGTTTTAGTTTATCTAGACACGGGAAAGAACCTCACGCCGACAATTAATGGCACTTGTACGTCAGCGAGGGAGATGTTTTTCGGTCTGACCTCTATTGAAACTTTATCAATGTCCGAACAGATAATACGTGGGCATCTTCATGGCGGGGGCAAAAATAGAAACTATTGCTCTTCGTGTTTATCGTGCAAAGTCATTTATATTTGTATTCATTTTGTTATGTCTCCCCGTCCCTTTCGATTGTTGTTATGAGCGATTTCGATCTAAATCGAAACTATATTCATTTAATTATAAATAAATTATAAACTATATTTAACTGATGTGTTACACTTGTAGTTAATTTTTTTTTGTGTGTATCATCGCAAGTATCATTCGACAGGGGACGCGGTTTAAGCACACACATGCGATATGTCATCGTTTATTGCTATTTTCCAGTTGACCAAATCCGTTGCACAATTATGTCAAAATGCATCGAGGGTTATTACGATCACGTTTTAAGTTGCAATCGAATCACATAAAGATCGAACGATAACAATTTATTGTGAACGTTACCCCCCACCGCGTGTTTGCTTTGTATTTGTGAGTCTGCAGGGATTTAACAGGTGGCTACTGTTATCATATCGTTAATGGAAGACGCGTGGGTCTTCAATGAGACAATTGGAAGAGGATGGTTGTTAATAGGTTTTTATCGGGAGCGTCCGATTTTGGGTTCACACGATCCGCCTTTGGGAAATGTGTGTATATTGTAATTGAAATAAGTTAGTCTAATAATCAAACTAGTGTTTATTGTTGCATGTTTTTTTTATATTAAATTCAGCGTCTTTCCGGTTCCAAGATGTGACTGACCTCCACAATGTTATTACTGCCGCTAATGCACCGTAATAATAATACGAGAATTTTTATATTTTGCTCTATTAAATATTGAATGTTAATGTAGAACGTCAGGATACTCAGGGGGTAATCGCCCCAGGAGTTTTTTTTTTTTGAGGTATCGTAATTTTCTATGTAGTGTTCTTTTCGACTATTCCGAGGTAATTATATTAAATGACCCGGAGCATTGGGGAATGGAAAATTCTGAACACGCTATTAAACTATAGAAAATATTTAGCTGTTTCGGCTTAAATGTGTGCTGTTAAGTGAGTATATTTTGTCATAAAAATTCTTAATCACCTATTCAATTGTAAGTATCACGTCGTAATAATGGAACGATAATTCATTTAACTGATCAAATATTTTAAAAATATAATGTTTGGACTACTTTAGTATTGTGTATATTTTATGGCGGGGGTGTGGTACTATGCAAACTTTTTTTACTAAAATAATGGAAACTTTATCTCCTTATTGATTGTTTCTTAAAGAAAAATCAGACGTCTCGATATATTAACCATGTTATCTTATACCCATTGTTCTATCTGTATTTGGCAAATGTTACAGGTCACATAGATCAATGAGCAGAATATCAGACGGAGTAGGCAATAACAATCCGGTTGTTGTACCAGATCTCGATAGCGAATGCACCTACGATGTGTCTGCGTACGAGAGGAGTGCTGTGTATGATAATACTCATGTAGACGTCCTTTAATTTAAATATACTGTAATAAAATTCTGAACACGCGGAGATTGTTGTGCGGCGTCTGCTCGGGTAGCCTCGACTTGTCACTGCATTTAAAAAACAAAATAGGTAGCAATTATGCGGCTGACCGGGTAATAGTAGCCATACGATTCACTTCCAATCACAGACCTTGGTGACCAATTAAGCGAGAATTAATAAATTTGCGATTTTCCTACGGGGTTGGTTCGAACGGACCCTTAAAGCATCAATAAGTTTTTATATTCTAGAAGTTTTAGCGCCAAAATGATTCATGCGACAATCATAGTAAAACGATACGGAGCTGCAGCGGTTGGCTTTTTCAGAGACTTTAACGAATTGCCCGTAAATGGTCGACATTGGCATCTGTAGTATTAACATTAATAACGTTACACCGCTTTATTGCAATTGGAACGATTGTTTAATCGCCATCCACTCGGCTAACTATATAAACTATATTCTGTATTATTAATAAATGCATGTATAATATTAGCATAATATATAAATAACTCGTATAAGACATACGTGTCGTATACGCATTCTCTATTATGAGCGCGCGAGAATTGTACAAAACGATTGTGTTAAAACTGGTTTTCTGTACGCCCACGCGCCTGATTATGTGTACTGCACTTTTGATATCGTATTTCGCAGTCGTCGTATTCGTCACCATAATAATAGTAACAAAAACGGAAACGGCGACGATAATAACTGTAATTGTTTGAAAATGGGAAAACTCGAGTAACGGTTTTATGCGCGACAAATGGACTACGATATTATTACGCCGTTGTTGTTTTTATAAAAGGGTTCAAATTATTATTCCAATCGTGATAAGAAATATTCATAAGAGTGACTGTAATGTTTTTATTTTGGTTTTTAGAATAACAGATATGAATGATTTGATTTGTATCAGGTTAATCGTCAACAAATTATTTAAATGCTCCGGCGTTGCATTATTCAAATTTAAGTTTAGATTTTGAAGAATTTGTTACACAAACAAAATTGGATATTATACATGTATTACCAGTCTGTTATTATAAATTACTCATATTTATAAAAATATGCTTATATATTAATGCCCAAATTTATTTCGTTGTTCATGTTTTTTGATGTTTAAAGCAAAATATTGTTTTTAATAAACGTGTGTTAGAATTTTTTTATTTTTATTGATTTTTTATATATGTCTTGAGTAAATTATTTTAATTTCCTACAGTTCAATCTATTTATTAAAGTTAAATAGTGTCAACCGTTATAACTTAAAAGCTGATAGAAATCAGCCGTTAATTCTTACTGTAAAACGGTGTCAAAAAATGTCTTAGGGCTGAAAAAATTTTATGGAGTTTATCATGAAATAATTAGAAAACTTGTACATATTACATTATCGTGCATATTAAATTTGTTAACCATTATTAATAGATATAATAAATTATAATTATAAGATGCAATTATTCAAATTGCTTATGTAGAATTCTATAATATAAGGTTTAATATTGTACAATGTATTTATTCTACTTAAATAATATCTTGGGTATATTAAATATAAAATTGTATCAAATGGTGTCAAATTTTTCAATGTAAATATGTTAAAGTAATTAATCTTTTATTTATATACTTGATTTAAATCAGGCATTTTTAACTCAGAATTACAATAAAAATTAACCTTATTTTTTGAGTCTTTCATTTATATTTTTCAATATCTCAAAAAGATCTCAAAATGATCACCTTGAATCGATAAGTTTACATTATATGAAATTTACCGGTTAATGACTTCTTTGATTCTTTTTCAATTACAAAAAGTTTTAAATTTTTAGAAAAAATTTTCTTAATCGAGAAACTTTGCGCCATTTATTTAATCAATAATTTATTAAAAGTCATAAACTTGAAATAAGTGATAGGTAAAGTAATAATAGAATAATAGTCCTAGTTCATTGAACTATTCAAATAGTTTATAAATTATGATTAACATTTTATTCATGTTATTAACATAACGGAAATTTCAGGTGTAATAATACAAAATAGTACAAGAGTGGGCGATTCTATACAAACATTTTACATCAGTAATTGCTTAATTGCCTAATTGATAGGTCAGAATAGATTTTATAACGTAAACACTAGCAATAATAATTTATGTATTTTATTGTTATTGTGATGTTATGAAACAAAACAATGTAATTGTTTGTTCAGAGATAGACACATTTATGGAATATTCATGATCTTATAAAAAAAAATCAATGATTAAGGAACGGTTATTATTAACTAGCGCTTTTATAGTAATTTATTATTTTTATTTCATTATCTACAAAAAAAAAATAGCTTCCAGTCATATGTTTATGGATGTTAGTATTGTTTTTAAAGCGTTTATTGTCATTATATATGAAACGTTATGGCACTTCCGTTCAATTATTTTAGGAATATTGAATGTTTAAATATTTTGCTTTTTTTCTAAGTTGTTATAATAATTTTATAACCTTTAAAATTTTTTAATTATGTGTGATATGAATTTACTATTGAAAGAAATTAGGAAAGTATTTATATCAAATTTTTTTTTGACATTATACTTAAAATGTAATACCAGTATATGATTTTAAGTGACAACATTTATTTAACGCAGTTTATACATTAATTATTAAATACAGTATACTTTAACATAAGCTAATTGTTAAGATCGCAGAATGTTGTAAAAGCATCCAACACTCTTTGATACACAATTGTATCCAAAGCTCCCGAAACATTATCTAAATTTAACTGTATAAGCATATTGGTGAAATTAATTACGCACTGTAATTTTTAGTTGTTGATTATTTTAAGTATTAAAAAAAATAACATTCATTCCAATGTTTAAGGATTAAGTATCGCTAAGAATGAAATTTGGTATGACTAATATTGACCTCATTGATTAATTGGTTATGGATTTTTTTACAAGAGTAAACAACATCTGTTTTCTTCCTAAGAAAAGTCTTTT